TTATAAATGTATGAATCATATGGTGAAAAACTGACTTTGAAAAATAAATCTGTTCTTTTTTTCTTATAAAAGTCTAAATAAAACAAAAATATTGGTGGTAATTTTTGACTGTGTAACTTTACAAAAGGCACCACATAACCATCTTTCAGAAATGATAAAGTTCAACACTGAAAAAAAAAACAACAAAAAAGTTTTTTGCTAATAAAMCCTTCAGGGATATTATTGTTCTGCATGCATAAAGCATGAAAACAAAAATGTGAAGAAGCTGAAGTCACAAACATTTGTTTGGAGCTGTGAGGAAACRGTGAACAAAGGTCTCACCAGGGTTTTAAAGAACAGCTGGATGGAGTTCCTCTTCTCCAGTTTCTTGGGGGGGCTGGCTGTGTTGTCTGCTGCCTGACAGGCTGCAGAGACACCTTTGTTTTCTACATCTGAAGACTTGGCTGCAGCTTTGGGTTCCTCCTTGACTTTAACCGCCTGAGCTGCCTCCGCTGCTGCAGCCGGAGCTGCAGTCGTCTTCTTGGGCTCAGCTGCCTGAAACGGTTGTGACAAAACTCAGAGATGACTCAGAAACACAGACAGAACATTAAAGGGATAGTTTAGTCATYTTGTTCTGTCAGCTACTCTTCAGCTGGTACCAGATCAGTTGTGACATCAGTCAGAGTATGGAGGAAAGAGCAGAAGTCAGTTGAAGCTAAGCTAAAAGCTAGCCAAACAAGAGCCTATTTTCTATTGTTTTTTTTTATTTAAACCTTTCTCAGAATGTAACACACCTGTTACAGAACACAACATTAAATAATATTAAACTTTTACACCACTGGTTTAGTTTGTTGTTCCCTCAACCGAACACCGTCCATGTTTGTACAAATATAAGTTATACTGGACCGTGTGGATCAGATCACTGGTGCTGAGGCTGCAGGAAGTATCAGACCATCTGCAAAATCATACGCAGTCCAAAGTTCATTCAGCTTCCAGCAGCAGCAGATTTAAAGTCTGTGTTTAACTCAGAAAACAGCCACAAACTAAACAAACCACGTCATGTGTTAAAGTTTAATACTGTGTTACACCATAGAGATATACAGCAACTAGAGTGAGTTTCACATGACCGTGCATCGAAGCTACTGGGCTAACCAGAGTCTGGATTTRTTGTTACTGTACCTGTTGGCAACATGAAGAGAAAAATATTAGAATGTAGTGAAGGAATTTATTGTTAGATACTGATGCTAAAAGCACTACACCATTTTCCTAGTTTTCCTTTTAAGTATTAACTTTTATAATCCATTGTTTAACTATTGTTAACTCCTGATTAAAATAGTTTAGGTACATGCCCGAAACATCATCAACACATCGAAAAACCGTTATTAATTCATCAGGGAAGGGAAAGCATTGTTTGTTCAAGTGGCCTGCGATGCAGCCGTAGGCCTGTAGTGGGCGCTCCAGGCACTTAAAATGCTGTATAAAAGGACGGGAAATTCCGGGTTTCAGGCAGCGC